CACTCAGGGTCAAACCAATGTTATCATCTTATGTCTCCCTCGATGTCCCAAAACTTTTGTCTGAAACATTTTTCTCTAAAATGCACTGTTCAAGAGATATTTGAGGTGATCGATTAAAATGGGACATCTTGTAGATTTAGCGTAATCTTTTTCTTTTTTTTAAAGATAGACACATAAACCGAAATAAAAATTTCTTGAGAAGCGTTTTAGAATCAATAATTCCACCATTTTGAATTGTCAATAAAGTATTATAGCATATGTATTCTGACCCTTCATAAACCATACACACGACGGAGAGGGTTTGGAGTCATTAAATATTGTGAAAATGATAAACTAGGGTCCTGATCTCCGTGTAAAATACACACATACACACACGCGCGCTATGTATAAATACGTATTTACTTTTCTTGTAAATTTTACAGAAAGTCTAAAATTTAAATAGTCATAACTTGATAAAAAACAAGTCGTAAGATCATGAACCAAAATTCGTTTGAAAGCCCTTAAATTATACTTTCAAATGGCATTGAGTTTATTTAGAAATCACTTTCCTTTTTGCAGCAAAAATGTTAAGATACATCTGAGCGATTATACGATGTGGTTATTCAATACTTATAGTTTGTTGAGTTACTTGCCATATTTTGAAACGCCCGCATATATATATATATATATGGGATGTCTCATAAATACGTATAAAAGGTTGATAGCGGCGGGCGCTGGGGAATGGGAGGGGCAACCGCCGACTCCCTCTACTCTTTACCATCCAAGCAAGGCTCACAAGTTTGAGGCGAAGCTCTTCATGAGACAGCAGGTGGCGTCTGCAGCTCATCAAACTGCACCCTTTTCTACCTCACATCGGCATAGAGTTTTTTTTCGTTGAACAGCAGCGAATAAAGCATTAAATTTTTTTCAAAACTTGGCAAGAACGGTCAGGAAATTTATGAGATATTGAAGAAAGTTTACGGAGAAGATGCCTTGAAAGAAACAACAGTCAACATGTGGTTGAAGCGAATTCGAGAGGAACAGGAAGGACCTCGTCCAGGACGCCTCTTCACTTCGTCTTCTGATGAAAATGTGAACTGCGAAGATTCCTGTATCCTTCGAAATCGTCGAATAACCGTTAGAATGATTGCAGAAAAACTGAATTTGTTCAACGAGAGAGAGCTCTCTGCCGACGTGAGAGTAAAAAAAGGTGCGGCTTAATGAACTGCAGACGCCACCTACTGTCTCGTAAAGAGCTCCGCCTCAAACTAAGCCTTGCTTGGATGTTAAAAAGTGGGGGAAGTCGGCGGTTTCCCCTCCCATTCCTCAGCGCCCACCGCTATCAATCTTTTATACGTATTTATAAGACACAGTAGTATATGGGTTTGGTGATTTCTTGTTGCCAATCAACAAAGCGATGTATATTAATTTATGCACTCGAGCATGGATAACAGAGGAGGTTTTTACAATTGTAACATTTATAATAAAAGATTTAAAAAATCACGTTATGTTTGTGTCAATAACCCATTTATCGAAACTTATCAAAAAATGTTAAAGTGGCCAAAAAACCTTCCTCTCTTTTTAGCCTTTTCATTCCAATTTACTCAAAATCCTGACGTACTAAAGCAAATTCTGACAGACCGTGTTCAGCGAGAAAAAAGTCTTTGGGAAATGTATTGTCATACTTCAGAAAAAATTATGTTAACACTGTGTAATTAATATTAGTATTTCTTTTGTAATATGTGCCTTATTCCAAAAATTGTTGTTAAAATTTAATCTCTTATATTATTACATACTAAATAATGTGTTTGCACGCTTCTTATACATCTTTATATAAGATTATATTTACAATAATTTAAATAATTTTTATAATAAAAAATTATAATATATTTTAATAATTTACTAACCATTTCTTTGTTAACCATATTGTATATATCCATCAAACTCAGTAATGTAATATTTTGTAATTCTTCTCGTGAACTACAAAAGAAGTATTGCTCAATCCAAAATTTTAATTGATCAGGAGCTCCGTCTATAAGTATTAAGCGTCCTGAAAAATTCTTAGCCTCTAATAATCTTGCTAATTCAATAGCAATTAAGGATCCAAATGAGTATCCTACTATACGGAATTTCCTTTGATTTTTTGTCTTCTCCAATATATACTAAAAGTATAAATATATACATATGTACAATATCGATTAAAAATTTAAATACGTGGTCCAAAA